CAATTGATTAAAGGTCAACAATACCAATCAAATTCTACTGCTGGGATTTCACAAATGCATCCACCATCATCCATTCAACTATCACAACAGTTCAATAATAATAATAATAATAATAATAATAATAATAATAATAATAATAATAACTCCACTAATAATAGTAATAATAATAATCAATCAATTAATCTATGGACACCTTGTCAACAATTTCGTCAATCTCAAGCTCAGCAAAATCAAACAATTTATTATTCACCATTGTTACAAACACAATCTGCACTTACTAATTATGAATATGCTAACTGTTGGGATTCATCGACACCACCGACAACTGGTATAATTACAGCTAATAATGAAAATGATTGGCCACCTTTATAAATTGTATCCGATGTTCAGTATTATTTCTTCTCTTGTTTGTTTTTAATTTTAATAAATACTGAAGCGTTTTATAATCTTTATTAATGGAATAATTTGGTCGGTTTTCATCAATCTAGAAAACTTGTTAAATGTACAAACTCAGGAGTAACTTTATGTTTAAAAATATCGGTTAGCTGTAATAAACAGTAATTATAAAGAACCTCCTTATTGTGACTGCTAGTTTGATGTGATGTTCTGGATCACCCATCATGATGACCCAGTTGAGCTATATTGGCTGGAACACTTGTCTCAGCATGTTAGCCAGGTCTGTGGGAAAGTGGTAGCACTAAAAACAGCACTTAACGGCCGAGGATGATGTCGTACTGCTGGCTTTACATAGATCTGGTGACAGTAAGGTGTTTTCCTCAGACAACCAGCATTCAGAGCGATACTACCTTTCCACAACGAAAAGGGATCATAAAGAAATATTGATTCTGTCCTCGGTAAAATCTTCAAAGTACAGAGCTAACACATCAAGAACTATTCACAGAAGAGCCGTGTTTGACCGGCCTTAGGACGTTGTCCTCATACACAGAGACACTTTGGCTCAAACCCGAGTACATAGTTGTGTACTTGGTAAATAAGTTAAGTATAGTGTTTTGTTTTTATCATTGCTAGTTGTAATTAAAAACTGACTATTGTTCGTTAAAGAAACGTTTATTGAGCTCCGGTTTTCTACCACTAAGTTCCAGTTTTGAACCACCGATATTCTATTTTGATCTATGTATCCTAAAAACATACATTCTTCATATAACAAGTGCAGTTTGATAATTAGTGCATAAGACCATGCATGTTTACTGAGTTATGTCATTAATATCCCGACCGTTATTGCTACCTTGACGTGGTGGTCGGACTTGCCTATCGTGATGAAGCAACCGAGCTATACTGGCTAGAACAACCGTTCCTCAAGGTCCTACCATGTCAGACAAGTCGGTTGAAGAGCGGTAAGACTAAAAGCAACAAACCCAAGGTCCGAAGGCGAAGTCGTACTGCTGACTGTACAGAGGTGTGACAGCAGTAAGGTGTTTCCTTCAGACAACCAGCATGAAAGTGATGTTGCCTTCCCACAAGGAGGGGTCGGGTTAGAAAAGGTCGACCCTAAAAATCCACACCTTGCTTTACCCCACGGATATCCGTCTCCGGCGGTAAGGTCCCAAAAAGTACGGACCTAACACAAAAATTACCGGTAAAACGGTCGTGTGTGACCGACCTCAAACGGTTGTACCTTGGGCACTGCGGTCACGCTCCCAGGTCACTAAGACCACCTCTAATCCTATTTCCTTTTCAGGCACCTCCAGAAGAACCCTTCCATGGTGTGGGCAACCGGGAAGTGATAACCGCCCTCATACCTCTAACAGTACTCAAGACCACTGTATTCATAATCAACCTTCCCTGTCACTAATATATTATAGCTCATATAGACTACAATATATTGTCCATGTTAGGAAGCTAGATTGGAAATATTACACGATTACTGGTTAGAATATTCACCTTAGGTGTCCAACATTAGATTATATCCGCCAGTTTTTCATGGGATCATAATTATGTAAAACGTTATAGTTATTGAAGAAACCTTTATACAGTCCCATTTGGTATACAAGATTTTCGAAAAACCAGTTCCATAATTCATGGAAATTGTTACGGTCATAGACACTAATATTTCGACTCCGTTATGTTGTTTATTTCATCGTGAGGTGATCATTAAATGTCTTAATTTGGGCTAGTGGGTATTTATACTAGACTCTGCGTTTTGTGTAATTTATTTATCATCATCTTATCTCCCGTAGTTAAATAAGATTTCCCGGTTGTTCTCAACAAATTGATCACTAATGTTACACTGACTTTGTAAAAGTCGAAGATACAAACCGATTGTTCTGACGCTACTGTGTAGAGTAAAGCTTGTTGTATGCGTTAGTCGACAGAGGTTGAGTCATTATGTTGATTGTTATGTAAATTATTGGCAGTGAAACACCATATCAGTTGAAAGGATTTAATAAAAGGTCCTGCATTCCAGAAGTCGGTATTTAGTCTTTCGAATAAGTGATTTTATGGTTGTTATATCTCAACACTTCATGAAATAACCATTATCTCAAGATTTATATTTAGCTTTCGACCACGCACTAACAGGTGAATTGTTAACAATATACTGTTCTCATATTTTTAGTATGGATTAATTAATATCTGAGAAATGCTGTCAATTTCGTCCCAGTTTCGACTCATTTGCATAAACTCGAGAAATGGTTTTCAGTGAGGCATTCTTGGGAAACGTAAAGCAATGACTCCCTTTTATTAGTTTCGATAGAGCAATTAGAAGACAGAATTAATCTGAAAAATGTTTGTCTATTGCAATACATATAATTGAAACGGGGCACAAAATTGACATTAATACAGCTTTTAAAACGCATAGAAATTGTAGTGAGACTCTAATTTAGGGACGACCTTTGAACGAATCTCAAATGACCTTGACAATTATTAGCCAATCAGAAGACAGTATAAAGTGAAAATATATTCTAAGAAAGTAATGAATTACAGTGGATATTCTTCTTTTACATATTTATAAAATTTGGTAAGGTTTGATAAAGGTTCAGAGGTTCTGAATTCATAATGCATATGGTATAGAAACTCGTCCTTAGGGTTAGGGTGCTAACATACGATCGGTTTACAACGGATTTTAGGGAAGAGGTGTTTATCGACAGGCTACAACCCTTAACCCTAACCCTATGGACGAGTTTCTATACCATATGCATTATGAATTCAGAACTTCCGAACCTTTATCAAACCTCAACAAGTTTTTAAATCATGTAAAAGAAGAATATCCACTGTAATACATTACTTTCTTATAATATATTTTTACTTTATACTGTCTTCTGCTTGGCTAATAATTGAAATTGCTCAAACGCTTCTGACTGGCTCGTCCCTAAATTAGAGTCTCACCGAAATTATCAAGGACGAATTCTTAGGTTTATTGAAGCCTTAGCTATTCGTAAATTTAAACCCCCTTTATGTGTACAAAAGCAATTTGTCGTAACCTTGAATTTACCTTGGTAATCATTAAGTCATTTTATGGTCTGGGATAATGCGACAATTTCTTTCCATACGATGTAAAATGTTTCGCATTTGTTACCTTTTTTACTTGAACTTTCATTTAATTGACCACTTTTTTTAATTTTCATGTAAAAATGCCCTGATAAGTATGTGTGACCAGATTATTCGAAATGTATGACGCAAGTACATCACATTTTTCAGATCAGCTTCATCTTCTAATTGTTCTATCGAAATTCTTGGGAGTCATAAGATTTACTTAGAGCTAATTATCGTTCATTCGCATACTGTAATCATCCCACTAAATTACAGTATATTGATGCATTTCTAGACATATTTACTTGCACTATTTAGAATTTTGCATAATAACTTTGTCTCCTGGTGATTACGTACTTTAAAGTTTTCATTCAACGTAAATGGACTAATCTTTTTAGAACTGTCTTTATTATTTCTAGAAGCTTGGTGTGTTATATTGTTGGTATTCACATTCAGTGTTCTAACTCCCTATTTCACTCATTATCTTTATGCAAGTAACTGAGGTTATCAAAAATATTTTCACATATTTGAAGTAGTAAAAATGTAGATTACCTTTCTATATAAAGTTTCCATTTATCTTTCATTTTAAGTGCCTGGAAGAACTGGACGGCGGTTCAGGTTTTCCATGATGGTCTAGCTTCAATTAACTCATCTAAAAAATTGAAATTACTACAATATTGCTTTATCATCGTCTCAAACATAACTTGAAGATCCAATTGTTATCAAGATCATAGCTTTTTATAATCATATTGAAGAGTCTGTAGTAAACCCAGTTATGGTACACTTTGGAAACGTGAAAATATTTTTTATTTCATATTTACCTCATCAATCAAGATACTAACCAGGATTATTTGAAGTTTTGGGTTCTGTCCACTTCAATACTCTACCAAAATTTACAGTTGAATGCATTATCCACTACTACTTATATCTATCAGGCGAAAATATATGTCTGGTGTTGACCGTCTTTGCTACTCGTATTTATGAACCTTTAGGCATTTGTCGATTAACACAACCTGAGCTTAAATATAATCTTAAATTTTAGTCTTAAACCTCGTTTACATAAATTTACTCCATTAAACATGAAAATATCTGTAGTTATATAACAGACATTTAGCTTCACAACGTTTGATCACCAACAAGTACTGAGTAGCTTTTACTTCATCAGTATGGAGTCTCGATACTGAAGACCTGTGACCAAGCCACGTATCGAAATCAAAAACCTTCATATATCATGGCTATCACTTTATACCACTAAGTCCAATTTATTTGGTGGTTACCATTCCATCTTCTATTGATTTGTATTTGTTCTAACTTCATTTTCTGCATATATCATGCAAAAAATAGAATCAGACAATCACATTATTTCGTATAGAGTTAAATTTTCAATATTTTCTCATATAATTCTAAGATTAACTGATTGTGGGTTCGGATCAATAGAATAGATCTTAATAACTGGCTCATAAAGGTAATGAACCCTTCGCTTTTCTATTAAAATCCCATATTAATGAGTGAACAGCTCTTTGAACCATGTTGACATCAATTTCAAGTTCAAATAAAATATTTGAAAGAAAAATGAGTCTACTTGCAAGTAGTTAACTCAAAAGTAGACAAATTTAATTTCAATAGTAAATATATCATTTTTATAATTTAAAAAAAATTGTTATATTCTAAAGGAAGTTGAAATCACTTCCAACATTCACCATGTACAATCGAAAGAGTAAAATACAGTTGAAATACTAGTAGTGGTGATGAATTATGCTCATCAGGAAGATAGAAAGTCAACAAGTAAAAAAAAATTTCAAAAAAAAAGGAAAACAAAAGATAAGTATTAAAGTAAAATCAATAATGCTAATAATTAATAATACATGAATGAATTATTGTTTATTATATACCATTCCATAGGAACAGTAACAAATACAGTGTAATTTGTCATCAGAATGTAATACATTGTATTTGTTCTTTCTCATTATCATATTGTAATATTCTATTGATGAGAATACAACTACTATTCATATCATGGTGATTTTAATCATAATTGTTCTTTTTTAACAAAATCATCCAAAAATGCATTACTATTATGATTATTATTATTATTATTGTCATTAGTTACTTTGTGTAATTTTTTTATATTATTTATCATAGTTGAATTATGATCATTAGTAACATGTAGATTTATATCGAAATTTTTAGTGAGAATATCATTTTCTGTCTTTATTTCATTGATCTTTATTTCACAAGTAGATTTAGGATTCCTACAATTAGAAAAAAAGTGTATTGTTAAATAAACACTTGCTAATGATACAGTATAAACTTGTAAATAGTTAATTTTGTTTTTAAAAAAATACAATGACTACTATTAAGTGTCGGCATTACAATAAATACCACTGTATAATATAAATGAATAATCAGCTCACAAATGCCCTGGTACAACCGTGAGTGAGGAGAGTCCTCTCTCTCTCGAAATGCTTACACATAACCACGCGTATACAACTACTGACAGGGAAGTCTTACTCACTACCCTCTCGTGGCATTAATGTTGTTTACGAAATTGAGAGGATGAAAAGCGAATGTTCGACGCTTCAACCGGGTTAGATGACACGGAGATTCCATCTAAGGAAGTTGGAAAACCCTGATTCCAAACCAATGGTGTACATGAGCTCCAGAGGAAACAAATGGTTTATAAACCAATTATTGATCATCGGCTATCATCGAACTGCATCTTCTGATGTTGCTCTACTGCCTTGTGGATTAGACCTTTAGGTCGAAGGCTCCGTGTGTGATCCCATAAGAAAACCATTTACTTCGGTTTTGGCACCCGGGTGGTATCACAACCCACACAAATCTCATTTGATTTGTGTGGCGCATATGTATCTGGTGCCCCTTTGTACCAATATTTATGTGTTCAAATAAGTAAATAATAATGACCATCATTGAACACATCTTAACCCTTTTTGAAATCTAACTCGTACTATTCATTTCCCATTTGAAATGGTGCTATAGCCTATACATAAGGTATTTAGATTATTAGTAGAGGCTGCTAGTGACTCAGCAGTTGCGCAAATATTAAACTCCAACAATTAGCTATTAACGGTATGGAACTTTATAAATCACAAGAGTGAAATATTCGATAATTCTTGATTTTTGCGACCTACTTAATGATTTATTGCATATGTTATTTAACATAATTATGGCTGCTCCTAATTAAAGATATAGATTTTATATTACGAAATATATTGCGATCTTAGTATCCTTCTTGTTGTTATTTATGACTGAGTTTACTGCTATTCACAAGCAGGATTAAAAATTAGTTATTTAAAAACCTATATTATCCAAAAGAATTTGATGCCTTTGGCAGATTTCATTGACGCTAGCACGCATTTAAGCCCATATGATGTCGACGTAAATCTAATGCACCAAAACATAATGACCATAATTACATTCATGGTACAGAAGCTGTTTTATTTCAGTGTAACTGTCTAGCTATAAATTAATCTGTAAGAAAACTTACTTTGAGATGGTACCGTTGCATTCATGAAGTTTTCTGTGCATTTTCATGCCACGTGGGGTTTGACCAACGTAACCACATGCAGAACAACGTAGTTCAGTTGCTCCACAAGGTTCCCAATGAGTTGAATTTGATTGATCTGTTTCACAATCTGTATTAACTTCTTGATTGGTTTGTAAATTACGATTTGGTGACAATTTCGAACCTGATGGTGATAACCTATTACTTTTAACGCTTTCGGCTTCATCACCACTACTAGATGTAGACGAATTTGTCTGATTGGCTGAAGAATTTCCAGTATGATTTAGGCTGTGACCAGTAGATGAAAGACTGTCAGTTGTAGTACAGCGACGTTTACTAGCAGGTGAACCGGTAGTTGTAGCGCAGTTTAAAACGGTATGATTACCAGAGGAGGTAGGTATATGTGATGTAACTGGATTTGTAGTGGATGTGTGTAACTGTTTCATAACTTCTTTTCGACCTTGACAATAGAATTGTTGATGGGCCTGAAGAAAAAATTGCGAAAACTCAGGATAAGTAAAGCAGTTATAAATATTGTTTTATCTATTTCATATACTAATATTTTACTGCCGTTTGACCGCCTTTATTTCTTTTCCAACCTATTCTAGCCATCATTATACGTCTAATTATACGGTTGTTGGTATATTCTACTGAAGATTCATAGTCTCATCAACCGATTCATTACCTAAACCTAACCTCAACATTACTCACGTATTGGTCCCGTCATAAAGCAAGCAATTTTTCCAAAATACTTATCATGGATTACTATCAACTTGCACTAGGTCTCTAATTTTAAATCTGTCTTAGTAGATTGATAATGTTATATTTTTAAAAGTGGAATTTGATTCACATGCATTTTTTTAAAAGAACAACAACTATTTCTTAGTGTTTATCCGTATGTTTCTTTATCTCGAATATAATTCAGTTATAATAACATCATCAGTTTAAGACATAATTGTTACAATCATATTTTTGTTAGAAACTACAATTTGATAGATCCATAAGGTGAATAGAAGCTGTATACATGTATTTGTGCATGGTTTAAATGGTATCAAAGTCTATTTAATACTGTATTAATAAATAATTCATGCATATAAAGATTACTTTATTTCCATTGTACAATAGCCAGTAAGTACCTTTATCATAAATAATTATGCTTTGATAAATTTTGTTTAGAATACATATACATTTTCCACTATTCATTAACTAATTGTAAAACATAGAAAGTGGACTAACAATCAATTACCAGAGTAATTATAATTGATCCATGTTAAAGAGTAAAGTTTCAGAATTAGGAAGGTTTAAACAGATCTCATAGAAATCAAGTAATTCAAGTTGAAAGTAATTTATCTTGCAATAACCAACTAAATTATTTCAAATATAGTTTAATATAGATCAAATTAATTTACCATATATTATACAATGATCAACCTTTAAGATTAAAATGTGATTCCATTGACTGTCTGTCATAGTTAATGGAGCCAATATTAAGCTATTATTCATTCAACGATTATGAAACAAAAGATGAGTTTTGTTTTGTCATTTCAACGACTGGTTTAAAAATAATATAACTTTTAATATTCTAGGTTTAATGTTTTTCAAGATTATTAGTTTATATACGGAATTAATAAATCATACTCAGAAAACTTGACTAATTTGTTAGTTTTAGGCAAATGTAAATTGTTACAATCATAGTGAAACTAATTCATTACATTTATAGTCAAATCCTTTTTTAAAAGATATTAAAATCATTTCAGTGCAGTTTGGTGAGATAAAGCTACAATCGAAATGTTTGCTAATTATACTGACAGATATAAGTAGTAGCAACAACCGTTAATAGAATGACTGTCAATATAAGATTGAATTGAATTACAAAAGAATTGGAAAAATCAAGAAATAAGTAAGGAATAAAACTGGAGGAAGATGTGCAATTATATTTAACGTATGATTTTTAGATTTTATGAATGCGTAGTGTAATTATGCACTAAAGAATAAATTGGTTTTCTTCACCTCAGTTATCGTTTACTACATCATTAACACTTCAAATCAATGATGGAAAGATCTTCAATTTTAAGAGCCTTTCCTTGGGACTTCTCTTTAAAGAAGATAAACACCGAAGTAGGTTCAGATATGATAAATGAATGAAACTAAACCATTAAAAATTGATCACAACCCTTATGTACAATTATTTTAGCTAGTATCTAAGTCGCCATTATATATTTAATCTAGACATTATATAAAACAGAGATGGATAATCACTAGGGAACAAATGAAAATATTGAGAACTAGTTGTTTTGTCTTTATTTGAAATCTGAAGTTAAGAAATGAGTTTTCTTTCAAGTTAGAGTACAAGCAATCTGTCGATTATAATGAGAAATAATGATATCATACTACAGACTGATTGTAGTTAAAAAATAAGGATTAGTAAATTCTAAGTGATTTAAAGATATTATGCTCGTTGAAATACTTAAAGATTCTAGCTTCTAGTTTTTGTATACTCGTATATTTTTTATTGTCAAGACGTTGATAAACAAAATAGGACGACTTCTTAGTTCTCCTTAGTTATAATTGATTATTGAGGTGAGGTTACTTCGTAATAAAATAGAGTATACGACTATAGTAATGAATATGCATTGATCAGCATCTTCTTGTACGAAGTAGCTAAACCGAAACCCTGCCAAGAATAAAATAGAATATTTAAAATTTATCCTTGGATTCACGTTAAATTAATATGAACAACAAAAAAAATAGATAGAACAGTATAAAAAGTAATTTATAATAAACATTCAAGTTAATCCTTATGCTTATATGACTTTTAAAAGTATAATATTGTGGTTCTTGTTAGTTTATGTTGCCCATTCATATTGAAAATCGTACTGGAAGACTCTGTCTAATATATGAACTATTGATCACTACTGAAGCCCTCACAAAACACATAACAATTATAAAAATGATTAATATGATTAATACAGATAGTTATTCTAAGTTATTATCGTCTAATAAATCACAACTACCTCAACGAAATTGTACATATGATTCAACGCACTAATATAACAAATTACTAAATATGCTTAAAATCAGAAATCAGTAGTAATCCTACTGTAGTTCTCCTTTTTCAAGAAACAATAATATATAGTTAGAAAAAGAATAGAATCTACTTTACAAATATCCTTGTTTGAATGGTTTCCTTTAGTAATGTTTATTTTTTTTTGTCTCATTATATGATTTACCTCCTCTCTTTGTTAGTTCATAACATAATCGTATTGTTTAATGCTGTATACATATATATGTATAATGAGGAAATAAAATCTAAACAAGTAAATATTTACTTATGTTCTTAGTTCCATATGTGTTATTTCAAACAAATCGAAAGTTATAATTACTAGAATAATAAAATATCTAAGATTAATTCAATATTATTATAGACAGTAAATAAATATAACAAGTAATTGGTATGTCAATTTAATCAGTAATTCCAGTTTAACACTAACTTCATAAAATGTATAACTGACATAAACACAGTAAACAAATTGTAATCTTATATAATAATTACATTGTTAATAAATAATCATTCTAGTTAGAGAATAGATAATAATATGAATATGAACATGAATAATGATGAAAATTTCCTAAAGAATTAATAAGATGGAATTGATTCAATATGAATGAAAACAATAATAAGATAGAAAACACATGTTATAAAAAATAATAGAATATCAAATAATCAGTAAATATTTCCATTTGTTTATATTTATGTGTTTTAGATAGAAATGATGATGAATTCAAGGAGAGTGATAAATTATTAATAGAATATCAGAAGGGGTTTTGTGGAGATTGTAGTTATTCCAATAGTTGAGATCATGAGTCAATTGAAGCTAGACCACCATAAAAAATCTGGAAGCATTGAACGACCATTTTGTCATATTGTGGGACTCTTCAGCAGTGCGCATCCATGACCCCGCCTAACAGGATTTGAACACATGACCTATCAGTTTCTCAACTATTGAAATTACTATAATATCCACAAAATCCTCTCTGATATTATTCAACATATGCTCATTAGTGACTAGCTTCAAGGTGTATGTCCTGGAGTTCTAGTGAGAAGCATTGATCAGTGGAGTTCAACCGGGTTTGTTGTGAGATAGTAACTCATTGATGACAATGGTGGATGTGTCGCTCAATTTCGTGGATTAGTTGAAGTTTGACATTAACACCATTGGATGCCGACCAGCTCGGTGATCTAGTGGTTAGGCGCTCGCGCGCGAGACTGATAAGTTCTGGGTTCGAATTTCACGGGGTGAGATCGTGGATGCGCACTGCTAAGGAGTTCCATACGAGGACGAAATGGCCGTGCAGTGCTTCCAGATTTTCCATAGTGGTCTAGCTTCGATGGACTCATGATCTCAACTATTGATATTAATAGGATAACAAATAAAACTAATGCCCGCTGAAATTTATCATCTAAACCAAATATATTTACTTTTTGTTTTTTAAACTTATAAAGCCATTTTTGAAAGGGAAAATGCTTTATGATTATGGATATTACATATTCCTTTTTTATTTCTTTTCTTCTGTTATCTTTACAAATGTACAGTGTACTGGACCGAGGTTAAAATTTTTATAACATGCACACTAAAGTAGAAATCGGCTATTGCAATAATAAATTAATTCTTAAAAAATAGAAAATTAAGTGGATTCAACTCATAAAATAAACAAGAATTTTAAAATTACATATATGCATTAGGAAGTAAATGTATTAGTCACTAGTGTAAATACTCAATTTTCATTCAAAGTTCAAGAACTAAGAAATTTCGCATACTAATTAGCCGCTAAGTATGATATTATCTAAATATTCACAATAACTGAAGACTAAAATCTCACACACGGAATAGCACAATGTAATTGTATGAGGGATTATTTCACTTTCACTTATACACAGAATACATCAAACGTAATATTGAATTCATTTCTATATTCCATGTGGTGTTATCGACAACATAGATGATCTTTTACTTACATATTCTCTCATTTTATCACTGATCTGCAGTACATTTCAATAAGTTTCATTCACAGTACTAAAAATTTTAATATATTATGGTTTTAGAAAAAAAATCACTTCCTTAAAAGGTTAAAGCTTCGTTGATTGAAAACAGCCATTTAAGAAATTTATTAAAAATAGATCTTTAAATGTGTAATAATGAAAAATTAATAAAATAAAACGGATGACTTCAGTGTTGTTAAGTTTTTGGGGTTATATGATTGATTCATGAAGCTTCGATCATTTTTTTAGACAACATGCATAAAATTAACTTTAAAAATGAGTTATTAGAAGCTCATCAAAAAATAACAAATATTCACTTATCAGAAGGGGTTTTGTGGAGATTTTTAGAAATTTCAATAGTTGAAATCATGAGTCATTTGAAGCTAGACCACCATAGAAAATCTGGAAGCACTGGGCGGCCGTTTCGTCCTAGTATGGTGACTGACTTCAAGAGGTATTTTCTGGAGTTCTAGTGAGAAGCCGTTACCAATGGAGTCCAACCAGGTCTGTTGTGAGATATCAGCTAACTCAGTCAGTCAGTGAGTAACAACGTAGAACTTCGTACGTACGTACATCAGTTCGAGTTGCCACACCACTCAACTCACTGAAGACAATGGTGTGTGGTGGTGCAACTTCGTGGATTGGTTGAAGTTAGACATTAACACCGTTGGGTGCCGACCAGCTGAGTGGTCTAATGGTTAAGCACTCACGCGCGAGACTGATAGGTCCTGGGTCCGAATGTCGCGGGAAGCGGGATCGTGGATGCGCACTGCTGAGGGGTCCCATAATAGGACGAAACGGCCGTCCAGTGCTTCCAGATTTTCCATGGTGATCTAGCTTCAATTGACTCATGATTTCAACTATTGAAATATTCACTTATTAAATGGAAGAGCCACAATAACAAACCATTCAACCTATAAGATAAAATACTACCAAGATATATCTTAGAATACAACTAGCCAAAATACATATGTTTATTTTTAGTTTATATTATTTGTAGATATCAGAGCTGTTAAATTAAGAGTTAACAGATGACACAACGTAAACACAGTGGTAATCAATGTGACAGCTTAATATGATTAGAATAAAAAAAGTTAATTTGTTATAATAGTATCTAAAGTATTACATAAGCGATTATAAAATTAGTAGATTTAAAGTTTCCCTTAAACATCTTGAAAGACATGTACTATCTGTTTCTTAATTTTTTCGTAAGTACTTTTAACTCATTAGATTTTACGTTCAAGGATATTCAAGTGAATAGTTCCTTTTTCTTTCGATTTATATTTTGAATTATGCAATCAGCTTATTCGAAATCTAGAACAAATAAACTTAGAAATAATGTTTCATTGCAGCAATTCACTGCATTACATCTAGATGTGAATATTAATTTTGATATTATGGCTTAGTGTTTAATTATCGGACATTTAACTACAAAACTTGACAAAATTTAATTAAGCCTAGAGTTCTGCTAGATGATGAAATATCAGAGCAGTTAAAAAAACTTCCATTGAGTTTTACCAAATTGTTCTACATTTTGTACACATGAGACATCCGTCTGTCAATCGTATAATCAGTATACTGTACAACAAACCTATCTTTATTACTTCATGGCTGGAGAACATGGTTTATGATGGTGCATGGCACATGTGGGCTAAAGTTAGTTATAAATATTTTTCAAGCATTGTTTATGCTTCGATGAACCAACAAATTTGAAATATTGGGGTTAAGCATAGAGTTTTAGATAGAAATATTAACTTAACTGATCAGGTCCTAAGCACTAACCAACCACAGTTCAGCATAATACCATATGTTGGCTGACATAGCAGCAGGCTTGAAAAAGTTAGCAACAGCTGAAATACGGAATATTGACGAACTGGCTATTAAACTAACCCCAAATGCCCTGGTATGGCCGAGAGCGGGGTGGGTTCGCCCTCCTTCTCGAAATACTCTCACACGGACACGCCCACACAGCCTCTGCCAGGGAAGTCCTACTCACTGCCTTCTCGTGGAGGGGGTGTTGTTTACGAAAATGAGAAAACGAAAAGCGAATGTCCGGCGCTTTAACCGGAACACAAACCAATGGTGCACATGGGCTCCAGTATCCTGCGGGAACAAATGGCGTATGAACCAATCGTTGGTCACCGGCTACCATGGGACTGCATCTCTTTACGATGCCCTACTGCATTGTGGGTCATACCTGTAGGTCAAAGGCTCGGGATGTGGCCCCCTAAGATAACCGCCTGCTTCGGTCTGGGCACCCGGGCAGTATCGCAGCCAACACGCAAATGGTGAACTCTATATCTATGGAAACTACTTTTCTTGCTACAACTAACAATCAAATGATTCAAATTATTATCATTATTACTATTACTATTATATTATTATTATTATTATTATTATTTACTTCGTAATTATTCACCCTCTTTTATTTCCACTCTATTTATACTTATTTTTCAGCTTATACAGCAGCTCGTCTATGGTGGAAATTCGACTGTGTCTAAACGTTCTCGAGTCATTGTCCTACTAAAAGTTGTATGTTACCACCGAATATGAGTACTGAAGCAGTTTTTCTGAAACAACGTGCACCATTCAAACTGGCTGCCTTCAACGTTCGCACACTTATGCAGGTCGGATAACAGTTAGGGCTGGCTATGTCTTTGGAAAGTCTTAATATCGATGTTTGCTGTCTATCCGAGACCCGTTTTCAAGACCCTGGTGAAGTACTACATATTCTCTCTCCATCTGTCACTTCGAAAAGCTTGTTTTACGTGCGCTTATCCGGGGACCCTGTGGCATCTTCGTCTGGTCTTGCTGGCGTTGGTGTCGCACTAAGCGCTAGAGCTGAGACAGCACTAATCGATTGGATCCCCATTAACAGTCGGTTATGTGCTGTTAGATTAGAAAGTTCCATCAAAGTGAGAAGAAATCGGCGTGAGAAACGATGTCTTTTCGTCATCTCCGCCTATGCTCCGACAGATTGCAGCCCGGATGCAATCAAGGATGAGTTTTACCACCAGTTATCTGTTCTTCTCCAGAAAGTGCGTTCGATAGATATTGTAGTACTAGCCGGAGACTTGAATGCTCAGGTCGGGCGTCTAGGCACAGAAGAGAGTCGTTTAGGTGGCCGATGAGGACTTGTTGGTCGCAGGACAGATAACGGGGACCGTCAACTGCAACTGTGCACAGACCACAACCTGTTTCTGGTTAGCACTAACTTTCGGCACAGTTATCGCCGATGTGCCACCTGGCGTCCTCCTTCTTAATCAGTTGGCAATCAGTGTCCGTAGGTATGGTATGTGCTTTGCACCCTCGAAGTGCAAAGTACTTCTACAAGACTGGCAGGATTCTAATCCTGTACTCACTCTGGATGGTGAGCAGATAGACGTAGTTGAGAAGTTCGTCTATCTGGGTAGCTGCATAAGTGCTGGTGGGGGTGTGAGTGATGAGATCAGTGCACGTAGTGAAAGCCAGAGCGGCTTATGCCAATCTGGGCCACCTTTGGTGCCTTCTTGATGTTAGTCTGGCTGTAAAAGGTCGGATCTACAACGCGTCGGTGAGAGCAGTTTTGCTCTATGCTTGTGAAACCTGGCCTCTCCGAGTTGAGAACGTTAGACGACTCTCTGTGTTCGATCATCGCTGTCTCCGAAGGATTGCTGACATTCAGTGGCAACACCATGTCAGTAATGCAGAGGTTCGGCATCGTGTGTTCGGGCACAGAGATGATAATTCAATTGGTGTCACCATCTTGAAACACCGACTTCGGTGGCTTGGACATGTTCTACGAATGTCCTCCCAGAGAATCCCACGTTGTGCATTATTTGCCGACTCTGGGACTGGTTGGAAGAAGCGGAGAGGTGGTCAGTGTATGACTTGATGTCGTGGCATGAAAGAAAGCTGCAATGGGCTGGCCTGTGTTGGTCCTTCCAGGCTGAAGTCCGAGAGATGGTGCAACACAGTTGCTAGAGACGTTATCAGATATGGCTCAGAATAGAAGCCAGTGGCGATGCTGCTGTAACCTTCTTTTACTTTCTTTGTAAAAAGTGGTTGTATCTTCCTTAACTGAAAGATTTCTCCTGATTGTACTTCTCCGTTCCCCCATTATTAACATTATTATTATTACACTACCTTACACCAATCTCTTCGTCATTGTTCTCTTTTTTTATTCTACGCTTCTTACCGTTTTTCTTTTTGCTTCTCTTTAAATTCTCATTGTTTTGTGTGGCGCATATTTATTGGCGCTCTCTTGTACCAATATTTATGTGTTCAAATAAATAAATAAAACAAACTTAATAACGCCAGTTGCTGTTGTCCTGCAGGTTGTAATACATGGATTGATCTTAGTTTATGATCGGAGACGTTAAGTAAAATGGTTCAAGATCGACCGGAGACTGCATCCCTTCCTTATCTTTATTTAAAGTCGTGTTATTCCAGACTTATCATTCTTTGATCTTATTCGCTTATCTCAAGCTATGTTTCTTGTACTTAGCTTTTCTACTGTGACAGATGTTGTTTTCTTTCTTCTTTCTTCCATTCTAATAAATCCGCTTCTCGATGTGCTGCCGTGAATTGTGGCAACTTTGTTTGACACATACATGTGCATCCCAAATTCTACGTTGCCCGTTAGTGAATTTTAGTTGTTTTGCTGGAGAGAAGTCTATAGTTAAATGCTACTAACAAAATAGTTTGTGAAATCACACTCATTTCGATACATTTTTATTTCACGTTACAAAAGCTTGGGGAAAATATTCGTAGATAAATTTGTCATAAAAAATTTACTTTTAAGTTTATTTACATTACTTTTACTAGTTAGATTATCTTTAAAGAGGCTTGAGTGATAAACATAAGCACTATATAGATATGACAATTACAGACTAGTAGATAGGTACCTTTGTGCCTGATAACAGGTATATGATAGAACCAAGGTCTTGTGCCAGATAAAGCATATAATGTTTTCAGGTAGACAGTTTATTCTTTTTATTGGCCATAACCAAATGATTGACGTTTTTCTCCTCATTACAAACAGACCCGAGATAACTATCTCGCAGTTACATGGTAAAATGAATAACAAATGGCTTTACAAGAAGTATGAATATTAATAGATCTTAAAATAAAGAATTCATAGACTAGTTGTCTTTCCATACACGTAGACCACAAAAAAGTTAGAGATTGATAAAATCACTAAAGTGAGAACTAGTTGTTCTAAGATATCTAATGATTAATTATATCAATATTTATAAATTAATAATATATTAACAAATTACAATAGTTACCTGGAAAGTACTAAATGCCTGAAAACGAGTTCGGCAAAATTTGCACAAATAAGGTCTTAAAACCGTTGGTTGTGGTGATGTAGCTGGACTAATAAGTTGTTCTGCATTTATTCCTCGTGTTGATAACTTACTCTGTTTTGAACTAGAGCATGAATCAAGATTTATCTGTTGTATTTGAGGTTCGTGTTGTTGACGTTGTTGTTGATGGTTCTGTTCTATCGTTGAAAATTGAGGAAATATTGATCCTAACAATTTAAGAGCTGGAAGTAAATTTAAAACTGATGAATTGCTATTATTACTACTATCATTAACACTGGTATTGTTAACACCAGTTGAATTTGGTTCTAATTTACTCACAGATGAAGACGTGCAAGTGAAATTTTGACTCGAATTTATTGGTATGTTGTTGATTACACCGGTAGGAACAGTGGTGATCGATGTTGTCGGGATGGGGAATGTGTTTTGTAATGTATTGTTACTTGATGTATTTATTAATTGGTCAGATGATGAAGAAATTAAAGGATGGATACACATTGGGGAAAATGGTATAGACGGTAAAGAAGAAAATTTTTTATACATGTTACTATGATTACTATTAGTAAAAGTAGGATTGTTAGTACCGTTATCGCAGTTATCTGTAATCGTTTTAACAACAGAATTCGGGGCATTATTTGAAGTCGGTGGATTAACTGAATGTGATATTGTGTCAGGTGGAATAACATTAGTGACATTACTTGACACGGGTTCGGTCATCAATGCATTTGGATTAAACGATGACTGAATATTCATTGAATTAGTTGCTAACGAAGCATACAGCATAAATAAAAGTTGGTTGACGTTAAATGGAAATGGTATTGTTTGTGAATTAGTTGATAATCCATTTGCTTGTGATAACATTTGAGAAAATGTGTGAAGTAAATTTTTGTCCATATTATTATTATTATTATTATTATTATTATTATTCTCAGTGGGTGTTTGGTTATCTAATAAAGATCCAAAATCATTACGAGTGTCTTCTGTATGACATGGGACTTTTAGTAATGAATTATTAGGCTGATTAAGAGTTCCATTAGAACAAGAGCTAGAGTCTTTCATAATATCAAAATGTTCTTTTTTCTTCTGTGAAAATAATTGCGATTGACAGTAATTTTGTTGTTGCTGGCTATCTCTGAATTCATTTATTGTATTGTACAATTTAAAGGAATTTAATAGTTGAGGATTAGATGGATTCGCTGATAAATCCAATATATTTGAAGTATTTAATCGAGGTAATGATGCTTCAGGTTGTTTATTACCAAAGAAATTTGTAGAATTAGTTAAATAACTTGAAGGTGATAATGTCACTGAGGAATTGTTACTATTATTTGAAGAATTCAATGAATCATTAATAAATTCACATGATGAAATTGGTGTAGTGCACTGTCTTTTATTATTCAGTGTTTGGAAATTGCTATTATTATTAGTAGTATTATTAGTATTTTTAAAACCATTAACGCTCTCATTGTTTTGATATTTTTCTAAATTATGTCTTTCTGGAAGTTTAGAGTTTAAATTAACAGGAATGTACTGCAAACCATTTGCCGTTACTAACGGTGCAGCAAGTATTAGTCCAAATCGATGAGCCACAGCCGAAAGTTGTGATAAAGTCCACACCATATCGTTGCTACTTAACATATTGCCTACGCTTTCAATATTTTGATTCATCAAAGACGTTTCACTGGGATTTATTATAAAAGGTTCTAATTTGTTTGAATTAGGAGGAAGTGTAGAAAGATACTGGGATGCATATAGCTGTTGACAGTTTGGACAAAAAAGAACTCTTGGTGCCTGGTGCTCTAAATTATGAGCATTATTATTTTGAATGCTTGAAGTATTAAGTTGAGTAGGGCTTATGTGAGTGTCAGGTGAATCAATTTTTGTTGTAAACTCAGATGAATGATTGCTTTTCATTTTGTCGGACGTTGATGGCGGTTGTTTCATAGCTGTCGGAGATAATATATGGTTAACAGATTGATTGCATAAGGGAATATTCAAATTCGATTCATTTCCTTGAGTATCGAGACTTATTGGTGGAATAAGACGTGATATCATCGGAAGCATAAAGTAAGCCAATGGATTTTGAAGCATTTGAGAAAGATATGTAGTATCACCGACTCCAAATAAATTTAAAAATGTAGGATTAATTAAATTACCCATTTGAATTGGATCAAGTAAATTTTCATCACGCATATTTACTGGATTCGATTCGGAGTTATTTTCTGTCATCGTGCTATATTTGGCAGCAGACACTGAGGTACTTGAGTTAACAGAGAAATTGGAACCTAGTGCATTAGTTCCAAAAGATTGAGATGAATTTTGTCGTTGATCTAAAAATAAGTTACAAGCATACGGTCACTAAAGTTATGGCATAACGTCGCACACATATAGCGTCTTAATTACTAAAGTTGCACGACTAACAGTTTACCCACTCTCAATTCAATGTTACTAGTAACCATGGTAGCTGGTCACATAACCCAAGTAGCTGTGTACTAAGAGCATTTTATCTAGATTCTTAATAACTATATGTATGCTTTAATTTGACTTTTTTCTTCTGATAACTAAACAGACTATTTACTAAAGCATCAATTTCCAGATAAACAACACTGATTGTGGTATTTATTACTACCATTATCTCATAACCACAAACATAGGTCTTAAATGAAGGGTATCGATTTAGTACAGTTTTTGAGCTATTCCCAAAGTTATATATTCCAATTTTTGTAAAAAAAAGTTTTTGGCTGAAGGACTGGGACTTTCCAAGTCAGTTCATCTCATTCATTTTAAAATAAACTAATCAATGATAACATTCATAGAGATCAGAGGATTAACTGAACATGACTTGTCAGAACTTAGAATAAATCTATTCAACTAACTTTAACGGAGAGAGATCAGAAAAACTAAATTCTTATTCTGCAAACTATTCTGAAATCTGAAAGCAGAGAAACTGTCTTTGAAAATCGAAAAAAATATCTGCGAAAATACTGTGGAAAACAGCAAAACTGTCATAATCTATACTCGTTATAAATAACAGCATTTTATACTCAAGTTCTTTTATACAAACGTAAACTCTTGAGATACCAATAAGGAACTATAAATAATGTTATATCTAAAATGGGATGTATAAAGCTAATGGTACTAGACGATGATCCCGCAACTTAACTTATGGTGAAAATTAGTACCATTTTCTAGAGATTAATGGGTCGGAAAATAACGCATCAGTCATGAGGTTTCAATCTATTGTGTTAAGTTCCATGTAGATTTGTGAGTGGGTATTACAACTGAGGTGTTACAAACTAACCGATACTACCTGTTTTTTTAGTTTAGTGCTATTGTTCATCGACTTAAACTGCATACGTGTAAACTGCATACAGTGTAAGTCTCAGTATGGTGTTAAGAAAGTCAGTCCTTCTTAGTTAAGGAGAAGTAGGATAATTATTATTCAACTGTTATCACAAGGTGTTTTATTTAGTAAGCCTTCAGTATCGGGGTGATCGGTAGAATTATCAAGTTTTGATTGAACATGAACACCAAGAAGTATGTACAGACAATTGATATGCATCGTCTTAGATTATACTATTACAAGCTAAAACTTTTTCTTAAAATTTATGGTATGGTAGTTTAATGAATCAATGTGTTCAGTTTTCATAAGAGAAACTTTCTCTTTTTTACTGAAATTAAAATCACTTCTAACATGATTAAGAGGTTTTCTAAACAAAGTTTTATCATCAGAAATCATCAACTAAAGAATAACAGACCAAATTAGTGTCTGAAAATGCTATTCTATTTGCCTGTATTTACTGATGTAAACAGTTTTGGTTGTTCGTTTTAATCTAAAACTACGCCAAAAGCCTAATAGTATATCTTTTTCACTCATTTATTGAGCCCCTTAAATTTTTACAAAACTTTATTTTGTGTAGTAAACTAGCATGATAACTAATCCATCTATCTATTTATCTATCTATCTATCTCTTATGATCACTCGTCAATTAGGTCTCTCACTAGCCTGGTCTTGTTAGCTTTCGTTTTATCTCCTGCCATCGGCCTCTGATTGTATATGCATTTAACTATGTGCATGTTCTGTTGTGCATACATACATATAGATACATATAAAACATTTCCACACACGCACATTCATCTTCATGGTAAAAAATCGCTATCTGATAATGATTTATCTAAACAAACAATCTGAGAAACGTGAATAAAAGATAAGATAAGACAGAAGAACAAGAGATAAGTGGAACTGATAAGTGAAAAAAATGAGGCCATAAGAAGATAAACATAAAGATAAGCAACCGAATAGAGAGAATGAAGGCGAGTCTACACGGAATTGAGAATTAACACAACAGAAATTATTTTTGGGTTGGCAGGAGAGAGAAACTGAGATAGAAAGACAGAGGAAAATGAAACAGGGTGGTGTCAGCAATAAAAAAATAATGAGATCTGAACATTGTACTAAGTCAGTTTAGTTTGTACATGTTAGTATTAAAGTATTGTTATTTACATACACATAAGTCATAGCAAACGCCTCTCATTATTATTATGAATATGTTTATCATTACTGATGCTATATTATTTTTAAATGAAATATCCTTTGTTGTACAAAGCAAGACGTTAAATAGATCTATCTAGATGAAGTTGATAAGCTTACTGTCTGTTAACATATTATGTATACATTTGTATACATATGGACGAAGTAACCTTAATGCATCATGTGTCTATGCCTTATACAAATAGATTCAAGCAACTAGTGTATGGGGAAAGTGGATAAATGTAGAATTTAAATTCTTAGTGTTGAAGCTAATGTAACAATTTTCAATTATTTACAAACAGCACAATCCTTGGGGAATGAATTATTACTTACATTTCACTTTGATATCCAAATAAGCTTATGTGAAGTTATAACTATGTACTATAATTTTTGATTAGTTGAACATTCAGTATCAGGCACTGTCAAAAAATTACTACAAAGCAGGATTATTAAAATCCTTTTCATTAGAGATTTATTTACAAGTGTTAGTTTTTATATCATAAATGCGATTACATAACCTAAATATATTATGATATTTTATATTTAATAAATTATCAGTTTAGGGGTTGTGGAGATTGTTAAGTTTTTGATTGAGATCATGAACCGATTGATGTTCGACCACCATTGAAAACCTGGAAGCACTGGACAGCCGTTTCGTCCTATTGTGGCACTCCTCAGCGGCGTGCATCCACGAACCCGCCCGTGTGATCAAATAGTCAAAGATAAATAACATTTATTTTTTAAGGTTTATCTTTATAAACTTGGTTGACCATAAAGTTTACATACATCATGTTCCTATTGTACTCTAACGGCCTTATTTGTCCCCTTTTTTATTAACTGTATATACGATTAGAGGTTATAATATGAAAGTGTAGCTTACATCCTTAGAATATAAATCAATGCCGAAATGTCAATTAATAACCATGTGACCAAATAGTAAGGTTTTATTTGATGGGTTTTTTCAAGTGCTAACCAGTAGCTTTACACGATCAGAGAAAATGTAATACTTATCTAGAAATTGAACTGGAAATATAAATGACATCATTATTTAAAAAGTTGAAAGATAAGAGTCAGTGTAGTATGATTTCGCCTAACTAATCAGTAACTTTTCATATATTATCTTTGTAATACTAAGGTTGTGTGAGAGATGACATAGACTTTTCTAAATTATAATTTTGTAAAACAATTACTTACTGTTGAACTTATTATTTGTACTTTTATTTGTCGAAGTGTCAGAGTGTGTTACAGATACAGACACTGATGGCTGAACACCAGCTGAAGTCGATGAAACTAATCCTGGTCTTCGAGAGCAGTAATGTGCCATATGTGCGTTCAAAGTATCCAGATTGGAAAATGATATTCCACAGTGTGTACACTTCTTATCGCGCCTAGGTCCAGTAGAAGGTAAATTGTTTGAAGACGATGTTAAGACAGAAGTTGATGTTGATGACTTTGTGTTGTTATATAACGTTGAATTATGACCACTTGACATTGTTATTTGTTCTGCTTTCTGACTATCTAATTGAGAAAAATGAAAAAAAAGTTTCACGAATTTGCAAATGTTTTGACTTCAGTAAGGTCAAATACATTTAGTGGTATAGCATATTGACAGAAAGTCATAATTGATTGATCACTGGGTGGTAACCAATGTAATGTGTGTCAAGTTCTTATTAGTGCAGATCGAATGCTATCGACCACGATGCAATGTGGCCACCAGTCTATGTGACTCGACACTGTGTGCACTAATGTGAGATTAGATGGTGGTTGGAGGTAGTCGACAGGAAACCCCGGTCCAGGGTAAATATTAAAATCTAGATTCTTTTAAACAACCAGTTGGTAATTAAAATGTGAAAAACCGGGACTTTGTACATCAAATCGATGCGGTGTTTAAATGTGGACGGATGGTTTTCGGACACTTTCAATCAGAATAACATTATACCTACCTGCTTACTTTTTCATACAACTAAAACATACTCACTAAGCTGATATGAAGAGAATTATTGACCAGAGTAATCATCTGGTAGACTCTATTTGATTGTAACTGACAGAACCAACGAACAGTTATCTGTCTGATGATTGATAACACAGAAGGATAATTGGTATTCATAGTTACAGGAAAATGAGTTTTCTAAACGACATTTATAATTTCCTTTTACATAATACAGTTTGCTACAAAATGTTGTTGAAATTAAATCGACAACCTTGAGGATAAATGTATTCCCTGTAGCATTTCAAATAATTTAATTTGTAAGTACTGGGTGAAGTAGAATATTTAATTTACTTATCAATTATAGCTTCATGTTACGCTCTTTTATCCGTGAGACAAATTGATATTATACAGCTGTTCAAACTAAATTACATGAGCACTTTTCAGATCTTTTAATAGATAACTCGGAATCAAGTACTTTAATATACACTGTAAAACAATTTACTGCACTTGTATTACAATTGTTTTAGAAATAGGAAATCTCCAATCCATTGATCTATTAATAGTTTGTACATTATTGTTATACTAGTGTCCTAAAAATGTCCACAGAATCCTTATTTTATTTTCACATTTGTTTATTGATTAAGTTAATGAGTTTAGTGTTTATAAACATGTAACTATATTTAGAATGGTTACAGTGATCTTGTTACGCAATACTGAACTGGTGTGAATAAACACAACATATGACGATATATACATAGTCATTATGTAATAATAGGCCTCTTGAACAACACGAATAACACTCGATAACTAGTCACTAGATGATTATATAATTATATATGTAGTAAGTTATCTCACACTGAATTAAAAAGTCAATACCATTACCTACTAACCATCTCCTTCAGGCCTTATCTACATTGGGGAAAAAAATCAATTTATAGGGTTTTTATATTTTTTTATTTGGAAAGTTAGATAATTCTTATCTTTACGAGAGGGAGAGAAAAAAACTTAAAAATGACACAATCAATGATTTATCTATTAAATCTGTCGTTCGTTTTCTAGAGATATTATACTTCTCAGTTAGGAGATAGTAATCTCACTTAAACTGTATAAGTCTTTATTATCGCATTACTGGAAACTCATCACTATATATCTATATCTGCCATTCATCAGCTTATACTGTTCATAGTTTCAAGCTAATAAGACTACTATTCTACAACATAACAGTCGAAAAAAATATTATCAGCAGTATGATTTGCATGTGTATATATTTGTAATTTAATCAATCTAGTATAGCATTGATTTGTAAGTAAGATATTGTTTTCTCAATAACAATAATGATAATAATAGTATTATTGAAGGGTATGATAAAATATGCAGTCATTAACTACCTAGATAAGCTTACCTGATACAATACGTACCACACCTATCAGGAAGTCTTGTGGATTAATATCTGATCTAGTTTGTAATGTGATTGTTTTCAAAATAGCTGTCAGTGAAAAACGAACAAGAAAAAATAAGAACATTAAAAAAAAGAAATTGTCCAATAAAATGTAAACAACGTAAGAACTGAGTATGCAGTGCAATTCATTATCAGATTAATTTATCATTGTCATAATCATTCTTATTCACGAGCTGTCAGCATTAAAATTATGCATAATCTTATCGTCATTATCATCAATGTCGTCGCCGGGATTATCAATTCTTTTTGAAATAATGACATAGCGCGTACAGACGAATCAGATCATAACAAGTATACATTCATTGAATTTTATGCCTTGTTTTTCTTCAAAATTCACTGATGTTTTTTTGTTTGTTTAAAAACAGATGATAAGCTGTGATTAAACGATTCATATGTACAAATGTTATCAAACAAGGGAGTAAACATGACAGAGGAAGTTTGATAAAGATATAAACAATAACTGATCAAACAATACAACATGATTTGCATTAGTAAAAACTAGTGATAATGATGAAAAGTATAAACATGCTGTCGAAAATTCAGAATTCATGATCGAATAATATACTGTGAATGAAATGCTAATAAAATAATACTAATTTTAGAGGAATTATGAATCATACTGCTTTCAGAAAACGAAATTGAGATTAATTAAAAAGGATGCTAATCCAGATGATCATTTACAATAAGGCTAAGAGTTAGGTAGTAAAAATTTTCTCCTTTTTACATTCCATCTGAGGATCGTTTTTAGGTTAAGTGTTAATATTAGTTTGGCCGTATATACCTGTGCATATCTATTAGAAAATGAAAGTGACTAAAATCGATTATTAAGCTTTTCTGAAGATCAATACTATGATCTGTTTAATTGACATGTCTCAGTATCGAGAGAAATTATTGATTGCTCTCTGGGTTTATTTCGGTACATAACAACGCTATTTATTATGAACCCCCAACTTCATTATTCGATTAGTCCTTCTCTGTACATTATCACACATTAATGTGATTTGATAAACTCTCTGGCAAGTGATGCAATCACTTTAAAAGACTAGTATTTGAACGAAGAATATTCTTTTCGATAAATTCTTTTCAAGTTCTACAATTATATATATCCAAATTAATGATTCGAAAAAATGGTCAGGTTAAGGGCAAAGTGCATCGTTTAAAGCATATGAATTTAGGATTGTCAAACAAAATAGAATAAAACTGTTAATATCAGAATGTGTTTTGTGGAGATTTTTAGAAATTTTCATAGATTGAAATCATGAGTCAGTGCTTCCAGGTTTTCAATGGTGGTCTAGCTTCAAATGACTCATGATTTCAATCTGTGAAAATTTCTAAAAATCTCCACAAAACACATTCTGATAATAATAATCACCTGCTCACTAGTGACTGACTTCAGGAGACACTTCTGGAGTTCTAGTGAGAAGTCGTTACCAGTGGAGTTCAACCAGGTCTGTTGTGAGATAGGAACTCACTGAAGACAATGGTGTACGGTAGCGCAACTTCGTGGATTGGTTGAAGTTAGACATTAACACCGTTGGGTGCCGGCTCAGTGGTCTAACGGTTAAGTGCTCGCGCCCTAGCCAGTAGGTCCTGGGTTCGAGCCCCGGGTGGTGCGGGTTCGTGGATGCGCACTGCTGAGGAGTCCCATACCAGGACGAAACGGCCGTCCAGTGCTTCCAGGTTTTCAATGGTGGTCTAGCTTCAACTGACTCATGATTTCAATCTGTGAAAACTGTTAATGTTGATATGACTCATATAGAATGTCAACGTGAATCAGCTTATATGTCATGTGAAAATTTAAGATCCATGATCAGAATAAATATGGCTCAGATAGGGTGAGAGAGATAATAGTGCAATTACAATTCGGTCAAATGTTTAGTGGAAGGACTATATTGTGTAAAAAATTATTAGTAAGACATAATAAGGTGGGATGAATGAGAACTAAATGAATCATGTATTGAGGAGATTAATATTGATGTTTAAGCAGTAGTAACCAATGTTGAAGCCCTATGTTGAATTATATGTTCAGATTATTTGGTTAGTAATAAATTGGTGTGACGACTATTTTCAACCTACAATATACTGTACAGAGTTTTACTTCTCATACTTACGATCAACTAAAATATCCAAATTATGTTCATTCTTATCAGAATGAAGACCGGTCTCGTGTATAACTCTTATCCATGTATGCTCTTCTCCAACAATTAAACTATTCGCATTTTCATGACTAGAATCTTTGCTCTGAAAATTAAAATAAAAACATTGAGAATTAAGTCATATTCGTATAATTAAAAATAAGTGACCTGACAGAAACATTTAAACTACAATTTAAAATGTAGTAAACACATATATATTATGCTTTCTTTGAATAGAAAGGTGTAAAATTATCTGCGTTTCAATAGATTATATTAGCGAATATAAATCTTTTTAGGCACAATCATGATATTTTACAGTATATGAAAGTAGATGCATCAAATTTTGTTCGGTTTATTAAACGAAATTATAGCTTATTTGTGTAATGAAGGTTTGAACCCGCCCCTTACCATTATTATTATTGATGGCTTTATTCAATACTATATTTTTGGTACAACATAGAATACTCAACAAAAAGTATTTCAATAAGTTTCCTTCTCATGTTTCTTTATCAATCCTGACGATAAACATTGAATAATCGCCAGTTAGATGTTAGCAGTTCAGAAACCGACATCTGAATAATATTCATTCTTTTCGATGTATATTGCCAGTCAGTACGATGTCTCTGGTTGTACTTTTTGTAACTTGTGCAGAGAAATGTCGTAAGCTTTTCATAAACGCGCCTATATAGGTCATGCGGTTGATAGATGTTATGATGTGTTAAAAACGGATAACTTGTTGAAACATCTAAATGGCAAGAACATGTAACCCAGATGTTCAAGCAGACCACCAGTAGATAACATTTTGGGCTCTTGAAGTGGAAGGCAATAGGTTTTAATCCATGCATGAAAATAAACAAGAGGGTGCAGGCACATGCAAATGATGCGCCCTTAATAGAATGAATTACACTGTTAGGAAGTTCATGAATCATACTTTTTGGCATTCTTTCGAGTTGAGGAAGATTTTAATGATCTAGAGAATATCATTAATTTTCAGTAAAACAGATGCCTGGATGTATTATATGTCTGCTCAGTAAGACGTGGAGAGCAAGTTATTAGATTTATTTTAAGCTTCAACTACTTTGATTGAAAAGATACATAGCTTCAGCAGCCCATACATTTAAATTGTGGCCTGAAGCTAAGTACGTGGGGTTGAGTTAAAACTTAATACTACTTTTAAGTTTATTATATAGGGGAGTTTTTGGATTACTATTTATGTACGATTTCGTATTAACTAGGGAGCCTATGACTCAATGAAACCTTAAATTTGCTTGCGCAGTCCAATATTAAACGCTACTCACACATTATCGATATCAACTCATTAAGAATTCATAGTCTGAAAATCGAAGAGAAAGGAATAAAATAATCAATGATCATACTTTTTTTCTCTGTAAAGTTAGCACATTGATCGAATAACTTATAAGACGTTACTTGGTCATTACGAATCAAACCAGATGATGTACAATACTAGGATACGTGTAAATAATTTCCGAAGTGGTAAAAATTTCGGTACATTATCACAAAATGATGCTACGTAGTTGCTCAGAGAAAATAACACGGATTACAAATAAAATTTCACGTCATCTTTTAATCACCATGTAAGTTATTAATCTGTAACGTATTTTTGTCAGCATTTGCGGCATACTATTTTAGTCTTAAAAATTTACAAAAGCATTAATGAATACAGCTCATTAGGAAAGCATATTTTACGAAAATACTGTTTTTGTTCTACACCATAGTTGTTACCAGTATTGGTCAGTAAATTTTGAAAATTACGTAACTTACAATTTTTACATATCATCGGTTATTCATACCAAATCTAAATAAAATAACCAACCAAATTGCACCTTTACATGTTGTCAGTATAAATTATCCAGGTTGTTTTTACTGATGAAAATATAACTATATGATCAATTGTATAAAAAATTCATTAATAACTCTGTTTACACATGATCATACAGTGACATAGACTGTTTATTCTCAAGACGTCTAAAAGTCAGATAAATAGACCAACAGGAAATCATTGAATGTTCATTCAGTTACTAATCAGTATATTTACCCTTAGTGGTAAGTTTCACAAATGAATTTGAAAAAAGATAAATATAGATAAGTATTCGATTTACCTTTACAGTTAATGTAACTAAAAAATCAGGATCAACTTCTGTTGAGAAAGCTATAAGCTTTTGTCGAAGTTCTGAACCAATGTGAATAAGATAAGGTCCCCATGTATGACCGACTGAAAAATGTCCAATAGCACATACTGTCAAACACTTAGATTCATTCATAACAGATATTAATCCTGGCGGTATATAAGATAATGTATTCATTTTGCAAGTAGTATTTGAAATGTTATTACTATTATTATTATTATTGTTATTATTAGTAGAATTACTAACTGGAGTCAGATTAGTAGAATCAATTTGATGTGATGTCATTAATTCTAAATCATTTCTTTTCATTGTTATTTCATCATTATTTACAATCGGTTGATTATTTAAAATAGATCCTGTATCCCATGGAGTTGTTCCTGTAATGAAATTAAAAAAAACCCAATTATTCCTTGACAAAATACTTAATGTTAGAAACTGTAAATATATCATTATCACCATCACCATTATCTTTGCACATCTTTAATCTACTAATTTAATGTAATCAAATAAAAATTAGGTGATCAATAAAATATCTATGGGTTTTCTTTATATATGATTACCAGTAATAACTCAGTAAATACAAGAGGATGTGACGTAAATCTTATATGTGAAATGACACACTGTCCCATTACCTTTCTAACTATATATTTTCTTTAAAGTTATTTGTAAACATGGTATAGGAATAGGATCAAAGTACTATAGACTGAGTTGCATAATCTATCAAAAATATCTTCAAAAACTCAATACTATTAAAGTATTAATTGATCTTTAATTAGAAATAGTCATCATTATACACCTATAGTAATTGGATTACCGAATACCAGTGTGTCTCGCTCATTTTAAAGATATATCTAATGTTTAATGGTTAAAGATAATAACTGACTAGTAAAATAAACGAAATTAATGTATACATTAATCACGAAACACTACAATTGAAAATAAAATATTTTAACCACTAATATTCACTTTCAGAAACTACAGAATAAATGTAACTTAACAATTCAAATGATAATTAATTTTTACAATTTAAATTAAATTTTAATAGTTGAGATCATGAGTTAATTGAAGCTAGACTACCATGGAAAATCTGGAAGCACTGCACGGCCATTTCGTCCTCGTATGGAACTCCTTAGCAGTGCGCATCCACGATCTCACCCCGTGAAATTCGAACCCAGAACTTATCAGTCTCGCGCGCGAGCGCCTAACCACTAGATCACCGAGCTGGTCGGCATCCAGTGGTGTTAATGTCAAACTTCAACTAATCCATGAAATTGAGCGACACATCCACCATTGTCATCAATGAGTTACTATCTCACAACAAACCCGGTTGAACTCCACTGATCAATGCTTTTCACTAGAACTCCAGGATATACACCTTGAAGCTAGTCACTAATGAGCATATGTTGAATAATATCAGAGAGGATTTTGTGGATATTATAGTAATTTTAATAGTTGAGATCATGAATCAATTGAACCTAGACCACCATGGAAATTCTAGAAGCACTAGACAGCCGTTTCGTCCTATTGTGGGACTTCTCAGCAGTACGCCTCCACAATCCCGCCTCTCGAGATTCGAATCCAGGACCCATTAGTTCCGTGCGCAAGCGCTTAACTATTAGTCTCTTAACTTAAGATAAAATTATACGGAACATTTTTTAAAAAACAATTCATTTTGTTTTAAGGTTAACGCCAAATGATTATCTTTTAAAATGATCTATTTCATATTGTCCATCGTTTGTTAGCTAGTCAATTTTTGTTGTGTTTTTTTCTTTTCACTGTCTCATGTATCCTAATCCCAAACTTTAGTTGATGTTATTAATTAATGGGATATTGCAAAATTAAAATTCATTTAAAACATGAATTAGTTTCTTTTTTTTTCAATTTTTATCTTTAGGTCAATCTATAAAGGTCAAATCGTTACCGATTTATAAATCTCTTTTCATATGTATAAATATACAGGCAAACACATCAAACAAATAAGAGTGAATGATCAAAATGTTGAAAAAAAAGAAAACAATTAGGGTTAATCAATTATCAAGATTTTGATAAAAGCCAGGGGAGTTTTTTTTTCATTTCTATCCAATATACCCGAAATTATTTTACTGATAATAATGATACGAGAACCATTGTATTTATTTATTGGGATATAAAAATTTTTTTAAAAATAAAATGTTCACGTTTACTAGTGATAGTAAACTATTGGGGTAGCTGATAGAAATCAGTTGGAATCCTTCAAACGATATTCTATGCTAGTTGACATTTCTCAGTTTGTTATAACTGGAATTCTCCGGGGAAATTATATTAACTGCATGATCAGAATGGGTGTTGCTAAGTATCATGGTCTGATATGTTCAAATTTCAGTTGAAATGCTTAGATAATTTATTGTAGAGTCACTAATAAACATTTAGGACTGAAGTTAGTTTGATTAATAAATTATGATTTCATGCAAATTACTAACGATGTCTCGTATATCATTTTTATAAGCATTAAAAAGGATAGCTGGGATCATCTTATATCACGATGACAAAATGTCCTTGATACTTGGTGACTCAGTATAGATCATCACATTTGGCTTTTGGATATATCTTTTTGTACTAGGATATTGGACCGTTGTCTAAGCCAAAAAAGGGAATCAACCTATTACTTCAACATCGAATATTTTCACCATTGGGGTACAGACTAAAAAATTAAAAAATATGGGTGCTAATTAGTATAAGCCATTAATTAACATCACGGGATATTCTGGGTTGAACAACCACTGAAAACCATGGATACTGAATAACTGCTCTACCGTATTTTGGAACTCCTCAGCAGTGCACATCCACGACATCGCCACCACGGATCGAACCTAAGACCCTCGGTCTCACGTGAAGACTTAACATTTAGACCATTAAGCCAACACTCACTGAGTAGAAAAATTCGACGTTCAGACGTTTTGTGATTCAGTGTAGGACACGTTTTCAGAGAATAAATAACCAAGTGAAAATTGACCCAGGTTTATTTATAGCAATCTACCCAGTGCTCAATTTATTTGAAAATATCAAGTCAAACCTTAGTAATGATACCTACAACACTCAACGGTTTATGTATTTCAACCAATTAGTAATATCGCACAACCATCTTCGGATGTACTAAATGGATAAATACCTCACGCTATTCCATACTTGGACGAAACAGCTGTATAGTGCTTCCTGGTTGTCATTAGTTGTTTAACTGTGATCATTACGTGATGTTAATTGTGGAATTGAAGAAATCCCACTAAATCCCTACGGTGGTTAATTTTTAGTTTGATGGTATTATATGGACGAACAAACCAAATTTAGGATAGGGTCTTTTGAGTTTTTGTGCGAACTTCATTCTTTCATGTCGCTACAAAGGATTCTTGTACTGTAGCTCATATTGTTTCATGATGAAAACTCTCACCTTAATTTCTCATTCCAACCACTAATCCCAATTCCCAAACCCGTCTTGAAACTGATAAATTGTTGAAAACTTTTAAGGTCACTTTTAGAATCACTCAGGGTCGCTAATAATGGTGTCACTTGTAGTTTTAATGAGTTTCAGACTAGCAGTTTAAGTTTATTATACAGAAATTTCGTAACGTGATGAAACTACAAATCACTAATCAACCTACGAACAATTCTATGTTTCAACCAGATGATGAACAAAATTTTTTATTGAGTTTAGAGTTATTTCACACTTGCATAAAAAACAAATCTTAAGGTTGACAGTAACAAGGAATACAAAAGATAAAATATTCAAACAGCCTTCAATTCTGTCATATCTAGAACTTAGATTCTTTGATACACCGCTTACAACTTGAGCACTCGTACGCTAGAACCCTCCAAGTCGCAAACGAGAAGACAGAAGATGAGTGAAAAGGAATGCTGTTACAAAACAGTGTCAAATGTGGTACAAAACTTTTAAGTATTTAGTTTTTGGTAAAAACGAAATCATCATTATAGTCATCCGATCCGCGTACAGTGGTTTTTAGCATTTGTCCAATAGGGAAGCTACACGTAGATATCCTAGAATGTCCTTCCAAAGATAATTAACGAAGTATCTTCGGCTCTTTCTGAGCTTCTTAGAGCTTCCTCGAGTTAAACCGTGGGTCGTTCACACACCTCCCCTCTTTAAAGTCTTTTGTGTAAAGCGTTTTCTTTGGGTCAACCTGAAACTTGGTTACCGCATTCCTCTTGCTGTCCATCATTCTTGAAGGTTATGCCGCTTTGTCCTTACGTTTTTTATGTCTTCTACATTCGTTCTCCCCTTTGGGCTTTTTTAACATCAATCCACGAGCATTTGAAACGGGAGTCGGCTTTGTGTGGTCAATGTTCTACCATCCCTTTGAATTTGATTTGTCATATACACACCCCGACTTTTCTTCGAACTAAGTACAGTACATTTCCAATCCTATGCTCTGTAACACCTGGTTCCCACTCTATATTGCCTTGATACTTGACAAGTACCCTTTCGCCTACCTAAAAGCTGCGAGTGACCATCCGATACTCGTTCGTAGGTTTACTTGTCTTGCTGGGTGGCAAAATACTGTTAAAGACTGTCCGGACTTTCCTTCCTCGGTTACCGCAAATTTCATGTAATTTTATGTAACTGGCCAACTATATATTCACAACTGCTTTTAACTCTCTCTCTCTCTCTCTCTCTCTCTCTCTCTCTCTCTATATATATATATATATATATATATATATATATATATATATATATGACAATGAGTTATCTACTAACACTAGCATAGGTTTTATGGTTGTATACATCTTTTGAGAAACTGCAAGAACATCTATGCAAATCAGAATGATCAAGATCAATTTGATAAATTGTAATGATATTTGATAGTTCATAAAAATACAACGTCCCGTAATATGTATTCTTTAACATAACAAAAAATAAAACTATTAAGGATTGAAAGAAAAGTTTGTAATCATTTCCGTTCAAAAAATCCACAGAAATTAATATTAGGCAAATTACTTGATCTTTTTAAAACTCTTTTCAAGCTTAAGCCTAAAAATAACAGTAACGTTGTGAAAGAACTGAGCATAGAACTAGACTAGTTACGACTACAATACAAATATGTATGTCACTTCAGAGGTAAATGTTTATGCTAATTAATCTTGTAATGATAAATTTCACTGTACCATTACACTATCATAATTATGACTATGATAAATCAATTAAGATTGGAGGTGAATAGTTTGAAGATTAATAGAAGCTAAATAGTAAGATTTAAACTACATCTGATGACTTAACAGAATTACACACTATAAGAACATATCTATTTATTCTTACAATCTTAACTTCCAAATAGTCCGATTTGGTACTTCTTATATCAATACTCAAAATAAACCACAGTAAGTCGTT